TATCATTATTCAAAAATTTGACTCGGCGTGGGGAAGGTACCAGAAGGAGTAGTCGATACATTCCATCTTTACACCAGATCTTGCGTTGATAGAAGTATTACGATATGCCGAGTTTGAAAGGAATCGGATACTCGTTTGGTTTTTTAAGGAAAGTACCAGAAGGAGTGGTCTGATCTATCCCATCTTTATGCTAGATCTAGAGTTGTTAGAAATGTTAACATGTGCTAAATTTGAAGAACATTTGTTCCACAGTTTATGAGAGTTATAACTATCAAAATTGTGACCGTTGTGGGAAAAATATTTCATGTAGTTGGCCGATATTGTTCATTTTCACACCTCACCCCGCAGTGATAAAAATGCTAGGATTAGGATGTATGCACATAATTTTATGATCAATTCTTGTCCTATGAGGCTAATTATTTTCTGTGAAAGCGTTGACCTTCTGTTAAGGAGGTACCAGAAGGAGTGGTCCGTTTTGTCCCTTCTTCATAAAAAATCATGTGTTATCAAAAATATTGGGATAAACTAAATTTGAAGGCAATCGGATTTTTTTTTTCTCAATTTCTAAAAGTTATGATAATTCCAAAAGTTGGCCCTTCGTGGGGGGTGGGCCGATATTTTCCATTTTCGCTTCTAGCCAAGAACATACAAAAATATTAGGATTTGCAAAATTAGGACAAAATTTGATGATCCTTTCTTGTTCTATAAGGTAAGTTATTTTCTACGAAAATGTTAAATTTTTGTGGTGCAGGTAGCAGAAGAAGTGAACCGATATTGCCCAACTCCAAAATCCATGTAAGTTTGATAATAATATTACGATACACCAAATTTGGACCCATTTGGACACTCCCTTAGAGAGTTATCGACCGCACCAGCCAGATAGACGGATGAACGCCCGCCCGTGGATCGGCTCCAAATGTCCTGAAACGGATTTGGTAGAAAGATACCTAATGTCTAAAATCGTTTTTTAGATGAGGCACGTTTTGGACGTATCTCCAGCCATATGGCTGAGGGTATAATAATTTTGAAACTTTAAGTTCTCATAGGTGAGATGTCATATTAAGTTTTTTTTTATAAATTATATAAAATGGACAAGAAAAATATATTGTAGGTAGCATTTAAAACTGCTCTACAAAGCAGTTGGAGTGGCCCAAGGAATATTACTCTTGATTAAATAAAAAACTTCTATTATTCAGTTATAAATAATACTTAACTATCTTCATGTTTTTTAACATAAAAAAGCTTTATCCAGTTTAAAACAAATAAACTTGAACAATATTTCTTTTTCAAACCCAAGCTTCCCTAACCTTCATGACATTCAATTCCCCCCTTTCAGAATTAAAACATAATTTTTAGAATTAAAAATTAAGCCTTTATTAAGACGTAATAACCTATTAAAACATCCGACTCTACCCCAAGTTCAGAGAGCTTACTCCTTTGTCATGCCATAGACAATAGACTACTACAGATACCAAGAACCCCCCTTTTTACGAGAAAGGATCCACTATTTACAATATTCACCCATACCTCCAATCCTACTTCAGCCTTTAGTTTGTTTGTTTTCTTGTTAATGTCCCCAGTATTTTCTGTTTTTTTCTTCTCCTTTTCCTCTCCTTTTTCCATAATATTTCTTGATAATTTTTCAACTTTCATTTGCACTTGATTTATTAAAAACAATATCACGATTGTATTTATGTTTGTTGTTCTTCTTATTATTGGTATGGTTGTTGTTGTTCTTGTTATTATTATAGTTACGGTCCTTGTACCTTCAAATGTAGTGAGAGGGGTCCATTTCTTCTTCAATCAGGCCCATGGGGTTGGGGATTGGCTCCTCTCTGTATACTGAGGTTCCAACAAGTCTCTTTGTTGTTGTAGTTGTTGTGGGTCCTCAACATTTATTTTATTGTTTCCCTGCAAAAGTATTTCACTCTACTTTTTACTACTTATGAGATATTATTGTTTTTAATCCGCTTTTATATTTACTTTACGCTTGTTTCATCCTCTGTTACCCCTCTCTCGCAGTTTTTTCGTTTTGTTTTCTGTAACTATCACCTCCTGTTGCTGTCGTTTTTGTTGCTGTTTTTTTAATACAATGCATCATTTTGTTACAATTTTATATTACTGTCGGAGATGTATCAACAGGGGGACCTGAATAAAATAAATCATTAAGAATACTCTATGGGGAAGTAATGAGTATTTTGAGGAAATATATAGAATTTCAAATTTTTTTATATATCGTATTTTTATACCCTATGCCATATGACGATAGAGTGTATATATCATTTGATACGTCCAAAACATGCCTCATCGAAATAGTGATTTCAGAAACTAGGTCTTTTTGGATCAAATCTATTTCAGGGCATTTGAAGCCGATCTAGGTGTGTCCGTTCTTCTGTCTATCTGGCTGGCTGTTGCACACGAGAACTCTCGAATACAATATCCGATTTGGATCAAACTTGGTACTGCGTAATATTATTATCAAACTTAGATCGAATTCGAAGATGGGTAATATCGGTTCATTCCTTCTGGCACCTCCCCCACTTAACATCAAACTTTCACAGAAAATAATTTACCTTTTCCAAGAAGAAAACCTCATCCTATTTTGTCCTAATTTTGCAAATCCTAATATTTTCGCCTTTTCTTGCCCAGGAGCAAAATTGGACAATATCGGTCAACTCCATCAAATACCTCCCCCACGAAGGGCCAACATGTTGAATAATCATAACTCTTAAAATATGTGAAATATGAGTCCGATTATCTTTAAATTTAGCTTATCCCAATATTTATGATAACACATGATTTTTTTCTGAAGAATGGATAAAACGGACCACTCCTTCCGGTACCTCTCCCACAAAGGGTCAAAATGTTGAATAACCATGAAGCTCATAAAATGCGAAATTAGCATCTGATTCTTTTCAAACTCGGCACATCCCAATATTTCTGTCAACACAAGATGTGATGCGAAGATATGACATATCAGACTACTCCTTCAGCCACCTCCCCCACAACGGGTCAAAATTTTTTAATAATTTTAGCTCTTCTATTATGTGAAATAAGCCTCCGAGTCACTTAAAATTTCACACATTTCAATATTTCTACAAAAACAAGATTTGGTGTGAAGATGGAATATATCGGCCCGCTACTTATGGCACCTCCCCTACAACGGGTCAACATTTTTTAATAATTGTAGCTCTTCTAATATGTGAAATAAGCCTCCGAGTCACTTCAAATTTCACCCATTCCAATATTTTATTATCACACCATTTGGTGTGAATATGGAATATATCGGACCACTAATTCTGGAATCTCCCCCACAAAGGGTTTAACATTGTGAATAACCAAGACGCTCATACAATTTGAAATAAGTTTCCAATTCTCTTCAAGTTTCTCAAATTATAATATTTCTACTGATGCAAGATCTGTTTTGGAGAAGGTAGATATCGGTCCATTCCTTCTGGTACCTCCTTCACAAAGGGATACAATTTTGAATAACCGAAATGTTTATAAAATTTGAAATAAGTGACCGATCTACTCTAAACTTCACACATTGCAATATTTCTACTAACACAATATCTTGCGTGAAGATGACATGTCCATCTGGTTCCTCCCTCACAAATGTTGCCATTTTTCAATACTAAATATGACAATTTTGACCCCATGTAGGAGAGGTACTTGGTGGAGGGGAGCGATATTGTACATTTTCGTTCTAGACAAAATTGGATGATGCTTTCTTGTTCTTTAAGGTAAATTATTTTCTATGAAAATGATGAAGTTTTGTGGGTCAGGTAGCAAAAGGATTGAGCCGATATTGCCCATCTTCGAGCTAGATATAAGTTTGATAAGTCAGCGATATTTTCAAACTTCTAAGTATTTCTCTCAGCCAGATATCTTATGTGAATGTGAAATTTATCGGTTTACTCTTTCTGGTACCTCTCCTCAAAGTATTAGATGGAGTGGAATACTTCGGTCCTCTAGATTTCGTACCTCACAATAATTCAAGGTTTTCCAAATATACCTCATATAACGTAATGGAAGTAGGGTGGCACCAGAAGGAGTGGGCAAATTTGGACCATTTCGATTCTGACATAAGTCCGATATAAATATTACAAGGTGCCAGATATGGACTATACATATGGCACTTTTTGATATTTATATCAGACTTATGTCAAAATCGAAATGGTCAAAATTTTCCCACTCCTTGTGGTACGTTCCCTCATGGTGGGTCAACAGTTTGAATAATTATAGCCCATGTCAACATATCTTAAATAAGCGAGGGTATACATCTGTCGCCAAAACCGACTTATAATTTTTAGTATATTTTCTTTAGAACAGTATTGGCTTGTTTGTTCGGGATACCATATTTTGTTGTTGCAAAATGGTCAGGCTTAATCCCTTTAGGGAACTGATGGGGTTTGGTGGTTCTTTCCGGAATCTAATTATTCCCTGTCATACCTCCTGTTAAACATTACCATCGTTCTCCACTAATAACCAAACGTTGTTTTTATAAAAACAACAATAAAGGGATTAATCCTGACCATTTTGCCACAACAAAAAAATTTTTTTTTGATTTTTTAATGTTGAACTTAGAAGGGATTTCTTTAAAGGTTTTCCAAATAATTCTTCAAGGAAAGAATTCTTCTAAAAATGAATAATTTTTTCAAAATCCAAAATCTTTTTTAAACCATATGAAATATCCAAATATTCTCCCATCACTTATATCAAGCCCCCACTGTAATCTATGATTATGATTTCCAGCGAACTCCAGATGAATGCAACACTTTTTCTGTTTTAGTGGATGCATTAAAACATTGGCTTTATTTTAATACGGTTGCAGTTTATGTGGCATCATTTGGATATCGGATACAACACACAGCTTCAGCTACAACACAAAAGCTCGTCGGTGGCAAAAACTCAGCTGCAGCAACAACAGCAACATCACCAACAACATTTATACGATTTTCATTTGTTTTTTTTGTTTTCTCTCTCTCTTTCTTTGGCAGTAACTACAAAGTGCAATCAACCGGCATGAAACAATGGTATTTGTTGTCGTTGTTCATTGGCGATGCTGTGCGTGATGTGCCCCTCTGTCGTTTGTTGGCCAAGAGGATGCCATGTCCAGGCGTTGGTCCCCTGCCGCCACCACAGCCACGTTAAGGCGGGGAACGAAGAACTTAACTGACTGAAATGCCACTGAAGTGTAGAGAAGGTAGATTGCCCAGGACTACCTCTTAGTAAAGTATTTTCTTATTTCATCTTCTGCTGCTGTTGCTGCTGATTCTACATCCCTTTACTTACTTGCATCCTGTGTAAATATGGAAAGAAGGAGCTGGAAAAAAACTTACCCTTTTTTATTTATATTTAATGGCTATCTTACGCTTTTATTTGCTTTTTTACCATTATCCTGTTTTGTTTCCCCTCCCTTTTCTCTTCTTGGCTGCTGAAGGACATTGGCTAGAAGGAGGCAATGAATTGGCACATGAAAACAGGAAAAAAAAACAATCTTACAAATATGACATGGAACTCCTGCCTCAATGAGTGGCATGAAATTTAAAGACTTTTTATCTTTTGCAGAGAAAGGAAGGAAATCAAGACCCCAAGTTGGGGGAGCTGTAATGTAAGTGTGAGTGTATGTATGTGTGTTGGGGAAAGTGTGGAGCTGAGTATAACCGCAAGTGTTGTTACATTTTCTGGACGTTATTTGGTGGGGGGACTTGGCTACATTTGTTCATGTTATTGCGGTCTTTGATGGCCCTCGACGAGGAAGGCTGTTGCATGGCCAGTAATTTAAAGTGGAATGTAAATAATTATGTTGCATAAATTAAACAAATGTTATTGACATGTGGCCAGGAGACACCACAACTACACATCATATTAAATTTTCAGTAAATTACTTTACTTTATTTGTTTGTCAAGAGCGAAGGCAGAGATAGGGGAGAATTAAAATCCCTTTCTCTGCCAGCGACGATTATTTCCCAGATACTAAAACAAAACAACAAAAGTGCATTTTCCTTTTTTTATTACAAGTTTAATTGCTACTATTTAAAATTTGTTAACTCCACTCCACTGAGACATCATTAAATTGTTGTTTTTCTTTTTGCCTTCGTTCATTTCTCCTTTCGCTTGAGTTGTTTTTTACGCCATTCAACAATGAATGACCACCAGTTTTTCATTGTTCCCTGACTGTGTTTTTTTTTTATTCTGGGTTTCTTGTTTTGTTTCAGCTGCCTTAATACAGTTACAAACGATTTCATTTTGTCAGCAATCATCAGGTCCGGACAAAGAGCAATGCCAGAGAAAAAAAAAAAAAAACAAAACCCAAAACGATTGGACCCAAAGGTTTTTTCATTAAATTGAAAAAAATCGCCAAGTGCAAATGAAAAGTTTGGCAAAAAAATGCAATTGCAGCAGTCTTTGGTTGTAAATTTCAACAAATTGTTGACAATATGCAGTGGATGTGTGTGTATGTTGCAAGCAACATATACAACTCACGGCAGAACTTCCAAACATCCAGAAAAAGTGATCCCTGTAAATTGTTAAAGCAAAATAAGAACTTCTCACACTGGAAGTATTGGCACATTACTGTCACAACAATTCCGCAGAAGCTGCAGTACATTTTTGCTGCGTAAAACTGTCGACTCTTCATGGGTCCCAATATGTCCATTTGCCAGGAACATCATTTACAACACAACACTCACTCGCAGCGTAATATTGCAGGGAACATATCCTTGGCATCAATGGCGTAGCCTCTATCACAGTAAATTCAAGGATACATCCAAAACCTTACCTGGACACGCCTCTGTTCCAATGTCACACACACACACACACACACACACACACAAAATCCTCTCCATACAACAGCAGCTTCCAACACAATTTAATTTTGCACTTTTATCAGGGGATTTAGTTGTTGCCTGTTTCCTATATTTTTTTGTTTCTTCGTCGTTTTTTCTTTTTGGTCTGGTGCAATTTTCACTGCAACAACACAATGGCAGGCAAGCGTATACAAATTCCACCCGCTTGCACACACACACACATATGCACACAGCTTAACTTGTTGATTTTCGGTTTAAATGCTGCTCGTTGCAAAGGATTCCGCATTTATTTACCTATTCTACACCAAAAAACCCTATCCTGAAGATCATATAGACAGATAGATTACAGCAATTCATTGCCCTTTACCTCCATTTCCCCCCTCTCTAACAATGTTTCCCACAAAGCAACCAACAAAAAATGTTCATCTGTTAAAATCTTTAAACTTCAAAAAAAAAAAACAACATCACAAATTTTATTTCTAGCCATATTAATGACTTTTTTTTAACAATTATTTATTTTGTTAATATTTGTTTTTTAGTTTGTAAGTATGTATGTATGTTGTATTATTATTGCTTAAATGATAATATAAAAAATAAAGAAAAATTGTCTAAATTTCAAATAAAATATCGTTTTTATAGCAAATGTAACCGTGGTGAGTAATACGCAGCAAATTGAAAATTAAAGCATACTTTAAGGCGAAATATGAACTAATTGATTAGCACAGTATTGTCAAATGGCTTAAATATTACCATTGTGAGAATTTTGAGTAATTTAATTTTTTTCATGAAATCATTAAAAAAAATTATTCATATTCGAGGGTTTCAAAAATGGCACGATGGACTTATAGCTCTCGGGTTTGTTTGTTCTAGGTAAAGCGGTCCCTAAATGGCTTAAATCCTACAATACGAAATGTGTGGTGATTTTCAATTGCTAGAAAACGCTGGTATACGTGAAAACTAGGCTGTCGACGAAATTATATTCTGCTGGTCTAAATCTTATATATCTAGTTTATCTTAGGCCATCGAAAATGAAAGGAAGAAAGGCAGTCACTCGAATTCGAGGGTTTCTCTAAACTCAAAGCCTTCTTTCGACTGACTTTAGGTATACCATATATTATTCCACTAATATAAAGTGTATTTTAGAAGCTCCGATAAACAAATGACAAAAAATTATAAAACAAGTTCAATGTATCAGTGGGTTTTGACGAGATATTAACTCTCAGCCAATTTCAGGCTGTAATTAAGAAATTAGAGGTCAATTATAAAATATATAGCATTTTTTGATAGGAGCACTACTTTTACGCTACCGGAAAGTACTAAATGGTACTAAATTTAGTCTTTGTTAAAGGTATAAAGATAAAATCCTGAAATTAGATATTAAAATAACTTTTGGTATTTGAAGTTGGGATTTGGAGGTGAGTTTGGAAATGTGTGCTATAGATAAAATTCTGGCTGGAGATAAAATTCTGAAATTTAATATTTAAATAACGGTCGATATCATAAGTTAAGGTGTGGAGGTGTGTTTGCAAATGCGTACCATAGTTTTTCGAAACGTACTAAAGTGAAATAAATTTGGTATTGGGTGAAGGGTTGGAATCCTCAAATTTGATATTGACATCATTGTTGGTTTCTGGAATTGAGATGTGGAGGTTTGTTTGGAAATGTGTACTGTAGTTGTACGAAAAGTACTAAATGGTGCTAATTTTGGATCACTGTTGGTGTCTAGGATGGAGAGATTTTGATTGTTTTGGATCTGCGTACAAATGTTACTAAATTTGGCAGTGGTTGAAGGGATAGAGCTGAAAATTTAGTATCGAGGTCACTGGTGGTCTCTAGAATCTACATATGGAGACGTTTAAATAGTTTTGAACAGAAAAATTGGATATGGTTTCACTGTGCAACGTTTTTCCTAATTTCCTCGTCGGCACACTTCAAAACGAAAGATTTTGAAGACTTTTTGGTAAAAAGCTTAAGGTACCGGAGGAGTCTTCCAATATTTTCCATTTCGTACCTGATCTGGGTCTGACCTGTCTATATTGACTATTTCATTAATTTATATGATGATGATTTTTGAAAAATGTTGAAATGCACGTGGGGTACCGAGACCGGAGTATTTCACTAATAAAAATATTAAGATGTGAATCATTTTGAAAAATCGGACATTTATTTGGAGTATTATGAGAATAATTGTTAATCAAAATTGTAACCTTTAATGGGGGAGGACGAAGTAGTGAGCCAATAAATTCCAAACTCACAATAGATCTCTGGTTGAAAAAAAAAATTATATATACCAAGTTTGAAAGGAATCGCTGACTTATTTCGCAAGTTGTGAGATGTAGATATTTTTGGAGACTTATAATTATTCACAACTTTGACCCTTTGTGGGGGAGGTACCAGTAGCATTGGTCCGATATATTCCATCTTCAAAACTGATCTTGCGTTGATAGAAATATTTGGATGTCTAAAATTTGAAGAGAATCTGCTGCTTATTTTGCATTTTATGATCTCTTGGACACCTTTGTGGGGGAGGTACCACCTGGAGTAGGCCATTATTTCCAATCTTCACACCAGATTTTGTGTTAATAAAAATATTGGGCTGTATGAAACTTGAGGAGAATCGGATGCTTATTTCACATTTTCAGAGATTTGTAATTATTCAAAATTGTAACTCCTTGTGATGAAAATATTACGAATTGTATAGTTTGCAGAAAATTGGATGAATCTTTCTCGTTCTATGAGGCAAATTATTTTCTAGAAAATTTCGACATTTTGTTGGGGACGTAACAGAAGGAGGTGATCGGTATTGCCCACATCCGAGCTCAATCTAAGTTTTTGGCTGTGTAGGGGCCATTATTTTTTTTAGTCTCAATTCTTAGTTTAGTAAAGCTTAGATATTTATAAAGTAAATGCTCTTTTTTGTTCGTGTAATACTTTTTAGTAAAAAGGCCAAGACCTCCAATGATTAAATATTTATGTTTTTTATATTTGAGAATATATTATATTATTTTAATGCTTGATTTCTTCTTTTCATACTTCCCTGTAAACCGTAGTGTTTATATTGTCATCTGCCACACTGCATGCGACCATACTTTAGCTGCACCTTAGTTTATCACACATAACTCTTAGAAATTCAAAGCATACTTTCAGGATGTCAGTTGGCCAACTGCACTCACTTAAACAATAATAACACATTTTTTTAATATCGTTACAAATTTATATATAAATAATTTATTATTAAACTATATCGAATATTATTTACATAAATGCATTTAAGACTACTTTGTTTAAATAAATACACAATAAACCGCACCAATTTACATAAAATGCATACAAATGAGGAGTTAATTAAATTTTATAAATAAACTTTACGGCCATCTGGTCGGATATAGTATTCGGTTTCACCTCTTGCATTGGTGACATAGATATTATTGTCATTCGGTCTGGGGGTGGTGGTTGTCGTCGTCGTACGCCTCTGGTACAAGGAGGAATGATAACGATTGTAAACATTATTGCTGTTGTTATTGGTATTGGAAACATCACTCTGTGGCCTGTTGTAGGCTGGCCTATATCTATTGCTGTTGTAAGTTTGAGAATTCAAATTATTTGAATTGGTAGTGGTATACGTTTGATATCTGTTGTATTTGTGGCTATTGCTGTTGGTGTATTTGTGATATTTGTTGTAGTAATAATTGTTGTTGTTGCTGTCATAATTTGAGTTGTAGTCCTTTTGATTTGTTGCCAAATTATTGTCATTGTTATACAAATTATTATCATAATTATTATCCTCATCGGCAGTGTCTGGAGCAGGTGTGGGCAAAAAGTAATTGGCACTGCCACCTGAATTCGATGGCGACTGGGTGGTTACAAAATAGTTGAGATTTGTGGCCGTATTGCTAACATAATTGTTGACCGAATTCAAGGAAGTCAAGTGGGTATTGTAGATGCCAACACTGCTGGGCGGAAGACCCTGATGGTAGCCATAATAGTTTTGAGGTCTCGATGGGGCCTGATATTGATTATAGTCATAGGGGTTGGAGGATTCGCCATAATCAGCTTGATTGTTATACAGATTGGCTTGTTGCTCCTCCTCTAATTCTTTGTAGTAATTGGGTCTTTGATGATCTTCAGTTTCTTCATACTCCGGGGGTGAGGGCTGCTGCTGCTGATAGGAAAATGAGGCCGCATAATTAGGCCTATTTAAAATTTTTGGTTCTCGTTCTGGGAATCTAATTTTCTTACCAGTGTGATGGCTTTCAGCCACCCGTAAATCCCTTAATTCTTTGCTGTGGTCACTTATGGACATTTTCTCCTCGGGATCGTCATAGAACTTAATTTTCTTTGAATCGTCATCCTTGACATAACTTTCCTGCTCATAGTTGTTATATTGATGGCCATAGTTCACTTGTTGTTGTTCTTCTTGTTCCTTTGAATTGAAATCCAGCTGTTTGCCACCTCTCAAATACTCTGCCGCCACATCAATATATTCCCGTTCCGAAGTATCAGCCGGAAACTTTAGTTTTCTTCCCTTATTAAATTCATTAAATTTTTCAATAACTTTCCTCAGGTGTTCCTCCTCATCATTGTAGTGATTACCACCACCATCTGTCTTGTCATCGCTGTCGGGGAAAAATTTCAAGCGTTTCTCTTTTGGCAAAGTTAAACGATGTATCACTCTGGACTCGGAACCACTTTTCTCACCATTCTCTTCCTCCGGTTCATATTGGAATTCAACATTCTTCTCTGTATCATCGGTGTCCTCCTCATCATTGTAGTCTTCATCGAAGTTGAACTTTTCATCATCATCGTCTTCCTCGAAACGTACCCGTTTCTCGGCCACACTTCGTTTCCTTCTGGCGCTTCTCCTTTGATACTCCACAACAGCCCCACCACCCATGTAATCGGACAATAGATTGGTAAAGAAATTACCTATGGTCTCGGTTATATCAGAAGATGCTGCAGTTGGCTGGGGCTTGGGTCTTGGCCGTGGTGTTGTAACCTGTGGCTGTGTTGGGGTTCCTGTCAATGCCGACAGAATGCTAAACAATGATGTGGCTCCGCCAGACTGGAATGAATCATGATTTCCGTTTTGTTGATTAAGCGTTTGGTCATCCGGTTCGCTAAAGAATTTAAAGAAACCACCACGATAATTATTCAAATAATTAATGATTTCGATCTGCAATGGAGGAGAAGAAAGGAAAAATGGGGTTTAAAAAATCTATTTTGTGGCTGGTAGAAAAAAGTCTGAGTTTACCTCATTTTTGGGGCATTTCACATAGGTTTGATGACAACTCCTGTCCCCGCCACTAATACCCAGCAGGGCTGCACGTCCGTAAATCAAGGCTGGAGATGAGGCAGGGAATGCAGCCAGGAAGCTAAAAATTAGGAGAGAGAGAGAGAGAGAGAGAGAGAGAGAGAGAAAAACGAATAAATTATTCATGTTGGATAAATTTTTTACATTGGCTAAGAAGTTATCCATGTTGGGTAATAATTTGTCCAATTTGCATAAATTACACTGTGCAACACAAAAAATAATTACTGGGCAAATCTAAGAGATTATGAAAGTAGAACTGAAAAAAGAAGATAGAAGACCTGTATCGACGTTTTGAAAGTTTTCATAGGAAAACGCGTAAATAGGGGGGGGGGAGGCTAAGTCCCCCCTCTTTCGTAGTTTTGGGAATTTTCGGATTAAGATTTCTCGATCCATGTACTTTAGGTAAAAAGTGTTCGGTGTTCAAAAAAAAAAAAATTGAAGCAATTTTGAAAAAAAAAAATCGAAATTTTTAAAAAATAAATAAGGTTTTTTATTAACAGAAACTGATGTCATTTTCCACGGTTCATACTAAGTATACAAATTTCTTTTGTTCAGAGACTCACAATGAAATTTGATCTGGAATAATTCTTACTTTAAGACTTTTCCCAAAAAATGAAGAATAAAGGGAGATTTTGACTCGAATTGGGTACGCAATAAATTAACGGTACAAAACAGCACATATTTAATTTACACTTTTAGTACATACATTTCGAATCAAATTTTCATAAAAAATATTGTACCTAGATATATATTTCATTCTGAGATTTATGGTTAAATTTTGTGTAGAATATTTCCCCTTTTGACACCTTCCACGTAAAATGAACTTTTATGAAAGTTTTGGGGCCATCAAATCGAAAAAGGTGGGGGAAAAATTTATCACAAAAAAAGGGAATATTTTCGATTTCTTTTTCGCAAAATTGATGTAAAACTATTTTGACCTACAATGGAGATGGAGATTTCATTTCTTTGGAGACTTATAGTAAAATATGATGAAGAATATTTTTGTCTTTGACGTCATCCCTCTAAGATGATGCTTTGTTGGAGATTTTTGCAAAAACTCACACAAAGCACGGCATTAACCCTAAAATGTGCGTTTTTAATAAATATGAATTCCTGGCGTTTAGGTAGGATTTCGACCCTAGATGTCTTCTAGGACCCATAGTGGAATTTTATGAAAAATAATTTTGTGGAATATTTTGACTTGCTGCGATCCCGTTTAAAGGGAGTTTTTAACCATATTTAAAAAAAAGGACCAAAAAGACCCCTTTGCTGACTCGCTCGAGGGTTAAAATTTCCTACCAAAATATTCTTTGTATTTTTATCTTAAATATTGCGGAGGACACTATATACCTAAAATGCACGGACTTTGAGGAATCTTGGTCCGAAATTTTCCAAAAGAGTGGAAGAGGGGTGGGGACCTGCCCCCTTTGCGATGCAAACTTTCAAAACGCCAATACACGTGTTTTCTTTTTTAGCTCTACTTTCGTAATCAACTGGATGTTGCCTGTAATTATTGAAAAAATGGAAATTTGTCGCACATGGTTTCCACGCCGGATGGAATACCCATGTGGGGTAAATTATCCAAGTTGGATAAATCATCCGCGTTCGATAACTTATCCATGTATTATTTATTATCCAATTTCATAAAATTTCCAGGATGTTAATCCCCTTCGGCGAAGAAATTATGCTTGGTGGTGGATAAAAACTCAATGGTGGAAGATAAATTCTTCAAATTGGTACCGAATTTATCCATTTTTCCCGACAGGGTTGGAGACATTGTCACTAATCCACACATTGACCCAAATTTTAAACTTCCCATCCACTTGCAAAACCACATTCCCCCCTTGGCTTGCCATTAACACTAAAATATCTCAGAAATTTATGCTTCCCGAACAACTACTCACTTGGTTATGGCCGGTGAGGTTATAAAACTGGGCAGCTGGCCACGCTGTGTTTGCGAAGCAATCATTTGGCACAAAACCTTTGGCACACATTGCAAATCGTCATTGCGTGCAATGTTCTCCAATGCCTTAATGAGCTGGGAGTTGATGGGTCTACGATTGAGCAGCGATGACGACGATGATGGTGAAGAAGAAGAAGACGATTGCGGATTGTTGCCGGCACCCGTTAGTACACCTAACAAGCTACCTAATGGATTATTAGTGTTCGAGGAAGAACCTCCTCCGCCGCCCAAAAGTAAGGAAGTGAACTGCGGTGCATACTGGACGAGAGTGGCCAAACCACTTGGTTGTTGGGTGGTGGGCGGTGGCACATATGGAGGTCTATAGGGGCCATTCGATTGTGGTGGTGGTGGCGGTCTTGGATAGGGGTAATTAAAAGCTCCTTGTGTCTGGGGTGGTACTTCACCAATCTGATAGTCATAATAATTATTGTACGAAGGTCTTGATGAGAATGGAGGTTGGGATTGGTGGGAGGGAGGTCCATTACTGGGATACTGGGATGTTGTGGGATATTGTGGACGTTGTTGATGCTGTTGTTCAAAGGGTGGGTAAGAGGATGGTTGATATTGTTGCTGCTGTTGAGGTGGTTGCCTGTATGGAGGTGGTATGGTTTCTTCATATTGGGGATACTGCGATGAGGGTGGTGGGGGAGCAGCTGCCTGCTCGGGCCGGTAATACTGTGTTTGCTGTTGGTTCGATAAATAATTATCCAAATTGTTTACATAATTAGGTAAGACATTCTGCGATGATTGCAAATATTGTTGGCCAAATGGCGAGCTGGGAGGTTTAGGTCTATATTCATCGCTGTAGGATGGACGGGGTGTAACATAGGCTGGTGGTGCTGAAGTTGGTCGGGCAAAATAGTTAGGCGAGGGGGAGTATGATGCGGGAGGTGGAGGTGGTGTGGCCCTCAAAGGTGGAGGTGGTGTGTCCCTAATAACTGGCGGTGGCGGTGTTGCCCTGGCTGGACCTTCCGGATTGGGTGTGGGCAAGAAATTCGATGTCTGTAGCTGGTGATAACTTGGCGGCGGATAATCATGCGAATCGTAAGATATTTTATTTGCTTTCTTCGTCGATGCAACCTCGGATTTCTTTTCAATGACGGCATTGGGATGTGGAATGTAGCTTTCATCGTATACTTGGCCAGGACGTTTGAGATATACATCCTTGTTGGCAGGGGGCAGGGAAAAGGCACCCGATTGTTGTTGCTGTTGCGTGCCAACTATCATGCTTGAATGCACCAAATATTCTTGATTATCTTGGGGGCCAGAGGGAGCCGAGTTGTAATTCTGAATGTTAAAATTGTCCGCTTGCTGATTATATGTTGCTGGTGAGGATGCCAACACCACATCCCTGTTGTAACTGGGCTCAGTTGGTGTATAATGATAATTTTCATTTGTATATGGATCCTTGTAAATATAAATTGGCGTTTCGGTCAGATGTTGGGCGAACTGGTGTTGCTGTTGTTGTTGAAATTGAGTTGGCCGTTGCTGCTGCTGCTCATTAGAAAATGAGAATTGCTTTTCGCCATTTGTGTACGATGTGGAAATGCGGCGATTATCATTTCCGTTATCGTTGGGCTGCTCATTGGCGGCAGTGGGTGTTGAGGGTAAATTGTTGTTGGGATATTTGGCAGACTCAAATGATGGCCTACCACCATCCTGTGTCATGTGTGGTATGGTAACATCGTCCAGTGTAAATTCTATTAAAGGTGAAGCTTTAAAGGCCGTTTTGGATGGTGAGGAACTGAAATTACAGAAAGAGAGGAAATTTGAGACAAATTATTGTTAAATGTTTTATAAAAAGGTATTCATGTGAGTGTATGTGTGTATAAGTGTGCTACTAATTTGCCTGCACTTATGTTACCGTGAATTTTTCACAGTCTGTTTGATGACTTAATAACATTTTACAAACAACCTAAACAGCAGTGTTACTTTCATCGTGCCATGAGTTAGACAGACGTTTATATTTTTCTTTGATACCACCGCCATTGGATTGGAAACATAGTTGGTTTGTCATACCATTGGAAACATGTTGGTATAATTTTATTGAAGTAAAAATAGAATTTGGGATTAGATGAGGGTCTCGCTTGCATTCTTTGGAAATTTCAAAAACATTTTTGAGGTGGCGCCCAATCTGTCGTTCCCAATATACTATATAGTACTAGTATATCATCAGACTTCAACCTTGGACAAAACCTCGAAATCGAATCGAACCAATATGAAGTTAGTTATACCCTCCGTCGCTAGTTCTGACCAAAAATTCGAGATTAGCATTATATAGAGTTCTGATACCGTGGTGGTGCCCAATCTGAAGCTTTTAGCTCTATAAACCACTACTTATACAATAAGTTTCTACTTCTGATCAAAATGAAGTATATTTATTTTGTAGAGTTCTGATGTCAAGGTGGCGCCCAATTTGGATCATATCGCAGTTATACCCCCAGTCTCTATTCCTGGTCAAAATCAAAGTTATTCTATTTGTAGAATTCGAATATCAGTGTGGTTTCCAATCTAAATTGTAATATCTATTCCAGGCCAGAAAGCTAAAGATTCTCTTTTTGTGTTTGATAACCCATGTGGCGCCCAATCATTTGATATGATAAAACCCTATGAATTTTTGTCCAATCCTAATGATATCCGTCCCGGTTTGTGAAGAACATAACTCTCAAAGTATCGCAATATTTTCAAAAATTTAGTTTACTATTTGTCCAACTTTAGGCCAAGTGCGGAGGTAGACAATATCGGATACTAATTCTGGTACCGAATCCACAAAGGAACAATTTTTTTTTTTAAATAATCCCTTAAGAAAATCGGATTGATTCCTTCTGTAAAATGTTATGTTTTGATTTCGGATCCCAAGACGGCGCCTAATCTGAGCCATTGAATGTATAAGCTACTATATTTCAATAGATGTTGGGAACTGATATGAATTGTCTTAAAAAAGGAAAGGATTCCTTGTTTGACAACTTTTGTTTGAGTTCGAATTCAAGGTGGCGCCCAACGTAAGTGATTTCGCTTTATAAGATAAAAATAGCCAACAGTTTCATCTTGGCCAAAGAAACCCATGAAAAAAGTCTCATTGACTTGTACAAAATAAGTCGTTAATCCAGATCCGTCACCTTGGTATCCGGTATGGGATGTAATACTGCCAAAATATGGTTCATCGATATATGTGGGGGTCGACGTCACGATGGCCGTCTGTCCGGTTTTCTTATTCGGTCCCACCTCAAAGATAAATAATACCAGCCCGTCCTTCTGGTACCTTCCACACAAACGTCTAACATTCTCATTTTTACGACATGTTAGAATTTCTATCAATGGCGGTATCCGGTATCTTAGCCACAAATAGTCAACATTTTTAATGATCTTAGTTGAAATATAGAATTGTTTATTTGTTTTGTTTGAGCTCGGATTTAAGATGGCGCCCAACCTGAGCCATTTTAATGAATTAGCTACTATACTTTAATAGAATTTGGGTAGAGGTATGAATTGTTTTCAAAAGAAAATGGAATGGATTCCATCTTAGACATGTTTTGTTTTAATTCGGATCCAGGATGGCGCCCAACTTAAGTCATTTTGCTTTATCGTCCACTATTTGTCAACAGCTTTTGGGTAGTGATATCATCGACCAGTACCTTCTACAATATGGGTCGCCAATTCAGATATCATGCTGGCTACCAAGGAGGCGCCCAATCAGAATTAATTCGCAGAATTAATTATTGGTCACATTGCTATCAGAGGGAATACATGATATAATACTGCCAAGATATGGCTTCTAGGAATTTGTATCATTGGACACAATCCATTTTAGAATATTTAGAGTCGGTATGTTCATCTGTCCGGCTTTCTGTTGTGTGTAATAACTCGCGAATACACCATAAGTTCAAAGAAAGTGAATGAAGTACCCGATTGAGTTGAAAACTTGCACATCGAAAAATTTGTATCAAGCTTGGATCAAGTGAGAAGGTGGACCCCCTCTAACGCCTTATCCTCAAACTAAAAATCGAGTTCAATCCTTGTGTAACTTTTTTTATTGGATTTCCGATTCAAGATGGCGCCCAACGTTAGGCATTTTGTAGTATTAGGCATTATTTTTCAACAGGTTTTAGATAAAGCTATTATTTTTGTCAGGAAGAACCCATGGTCATTATAGCCTCAATGAACCGTACCTTCCATAACATAGGTCGTCAACCTATACCCAAAATACCAGAACTGTCTGAGTTTTGTTATTTTATTTTTTTCCTCTAGTAGGGTGAACAATTTTCGCTAATTCCAACCCACAAATCATTTCATTTTTTAGCCTAACTCTCAACTACTACTTGAGTTCTAAACCATACGCATTTCTTCTTTGTTGTTGCTGCTTTAATTTTCCATCCACTTTGATTTTGAATGAATGTGTTTTTCTCCCGAGTGTCTGAGTGTTTGTGTTTTTCCATAAGTTTTTCCTAGCCATAACAGTTCAGTTGGTTTTTTGTGTTGTCGTTGTTGTTTTTGTTGAATATATGTATACTTACCTTTGATAATTGGAATTTTCAATTGGCTGTTGCTGTTGTTGCTGCTGCTGCTGGAGCGGCAACATATTGCTACCCTCATTACGTATGCCATCAACGTAGAGAAAAAATGATATAATTAGTATGGCAATTTGTTGTTGCTTGCCGGCTGTTGTTGGTAACAACAAACGAAACATTTTGACATTTGTCTGATGACAACAATGAGACACGATGACGATGATGATGATGGCGTTGACGTCTGCTGCTGCTGGTACACTATCCAGTGATGATTATTCTGTTATACTGGAGTCAGCAAAAGCCAATTGAGATGGAAAACAAGCTACTTGCTGCAAGACAAAAAAAGAGGGAAGGAAAAACAATGGAAAATTATATTAAAAATCTAAATCAAGAATACAAATATTACACAGACTGACAATCAAATGTCACAGGTTCGTGGAAGGCAAAAAATTGCATTAAAGTGGCTAGGAATAATATCTATGGTAGATGCCTTCAACTCCAGTGACCTCCATGCCATATTCTAGCTACCCAGCTTTCATTCAACTTCCAAGTTCCAAGAATTATCCTGTTCCTCATGCTTCAACACGTTTCGAGTATCCAGTTTTTTTCCTTTTGTCGGGCACAACGGTAATCATTTCACAAAATGTCACACGTTTAATAAGTTGCAAGTTTTCTTCATTTTCGTGCTGTCTTTTTTTCTTCTTCTGGCTTTTCCTCCTCAGGACAATCAGTATTTGCTGACAAGCATCAGCACACAACAATTCATAAATGTGAGCTACTGCAGCACATAATTTGGTTATTATCCTTAAGTAGTTGAAATAGTCACAGTTCCTAGCTTTGCTTCTTGTTGCTTTGGGGAAGAGGAGGATGGAGGAAGTGCAGTTATTTTCACAGTACCAAGGATCACGTTAAACATTTCCATAAAAAGGCAACAGCCTTGGCATATAAACAAGTTAAACGAGGATATTTTTGACTTAGGCGAACTTATGATACACTACCAATCGCAAAAAAGGTCTAAAAATCGTAAAAACCTATTTGACCTGCTGGATATCTTAAGGAATGGATAAAAGGTTTTTTACGAACAGTGCCATCTGGGGCTCCATTATTGGTCCTTCTTGTGGCTTTAATGTTGTAATTTCAAAAATGACATTTGTGTTATCCGGCGCCCTGTATACTTCATTTCCAGAGCATAAACCAAGTAAAAAATATAACGGCACCAATATTAATTAATAATTGTATTATTTCAAATAATAGATTCAAATTTTTAAACAATTTAATAGTTTAGTAGCTGCAGGGTTTATTGATGATTGAAGAAACTGGCCTAGATGGCGCTATAGAATAGCAGTACAAATTAAATTAAATTTTTTCATATATATTCGTAAAGATAATGCGCAAGTGAAGCATGAAAGGACAACGAGAAGTTCACATCGTAATTAGTTCTTCAGTTATATATATTGAAGAAGGCAGTTTTTGCTACTTTTTGTATCCAGTGCCATCTTTACTTCAATGTCCAATTTAATAACTATTGTAGCAATATATGACATTTAAATAATCATTCATTGTTTCAATTAATAAACAATGAATGCAAAATGTCTGAGAAAAGAACCTAATACTGTTCTCGATTTCAATAATGAATGAAGCATCAAAAAAAGTATATTGATATCGAAAAGTAGATGGCGCTAAATAGAAACAATATCAAGAAGAAAACTGTTGATTTCTAAACTATGCCGGTCCTGAATGTCCTAACAATGACATCAAGATAACACTCTAATTTCAAGAATCACCAAAAAGAAAAGATACTGGCAATATAAAAAGGTTTTTCGTGATAAAACAAATACTGATTAAAAAGGCACGGAGGAAGGTTCGACATAAGTTTCAAGCATTTCTGAGGAATGTCCAACACATCCTATATTTAATATATTATATCGGGCAATGGTGTCATGATGATAATTAACAATTATGAGATCTGTAGTGCGATCAAAAACAAAATATTATGTATTCTATGTCCTACCAACCCCATCTATACTTGAAAATAATAATTTGTCAGGACTATAAGTTTACTCAATCTTGAAGATTTTCTGCTATTATATTCCTGGGACTTTACACCTAGTATATACATTTTTATGTTATTAATTACTGTCTCACTTCCTGAGCATATGATATTTTCATTATCACTGCAAAAACCAGAAAATTGTGGGGAAATTAAAAAAAAAAAAAATAATTCCTTATTCACCAGCGCCATCTATAATCTGCTTGTCATGACAATAGCTTTTCTCACTATTTACGATAATATGCTCTTCCTATTTCATGCAATACGGATAATTTTTTGAGGGTTTTTAACATCAGTTCGCCAAAAGTCGAACAGTTTTACCAAGAAGTATTTGTCTCATTTGAAATTTGACATCTAGATGGCAGGCTTGCTCTGCTAGTGTACCTATCTTCCCAAATGTTGCATAAAATCCGAAAATGGAAGTCAAATTGTTTCGATTTCGGAGTAAATGGTCAACAACAATATTAAGGATGATTTTTGGGAAGGTTTTAAGGCCTAGATATTTTTTCCAATGTATGTATTTAAAGCAGATACAAGAAAATTATGGAGAAATTTAAATAATATTTATTCGTTATTCACCAGCGCCGTCTATAATCTGTTTGTCATGACAATAACTTTTCTCACTATTTACGATAATATGCTCTTCCAATTTCAACTGATTATTTTTGTGAGAGTTCTCAACATCAATTCGCCAAAAGCCGAACAGTGTTACCAAGAAGTATTTTTCTCATGTGAAATTTGACATCTAGATGGCGCGCTTATCCTGCTAGTGTACATAACTTCCCAATGTTGCATAAAATCCGAAGATGGAAGTAAAATGGCTTCGATTTCGGAGTCAGTGTTGAACAACAAAATTAAGGAAGACTTTTGGGAAGGTTTTAAGGCCTGGATATTTTTTTCTAAAGCTCTCATACATGTATTTAAAGCAGATACAATGTTGGTTTTAACACCTAGCATATAAATATTTATGTGAATAATTACTGTCTCACTTCTTGAGCATCCGTGTACTGATATTTTCAAAATCACTGCAAAAACCAGAAAATTATGGAAATTTTCAAAATATTTCTTCGTTATTCAACAGCGCCATCTATGATCTGTTTGTCATGACTATAACTTTTCTCGCTATTTACGATAATGGGCTCCCCCCTACTTCAGGCAAACAGATCTTTTTTTGTTAGAGTTCTTAGCATCAATTCGACAAAGGTGGAACAGTGTTACCAAGAAGTATTTTTCTCGTTTGAAATATGACATGAAGATGGCGGCCTTTTCAAAATATTTCTTCGTTATTCAACAGCGCCATCTATGATCTGTTTGTCATGACTATAACTTTTCTCGCTATTTACGATAATGGGCTCCCCCCTACTTCAGGCAAACAGATCTTTTTTTGTTAGAGTTCTTAGCATCAATTCGACAAAGGTGGAACAGTGTTACCAAGAAGTATTTTTCTCGTTTGAAATATGACATGAAGATGGCGGCCTTGCTCTACTAGTGTACTAATCTAATGTATGGTATAAAATAAAGAAATGGCATAAAAATCGCTTTGATTTTGGAGTCAGTGATTCAAAAATAAAATTAGGAACTTTTCATGGGAAGTCCATATTATTTTTTTCACTGTCGTAGATAGAGGAAGATGGAACAGACAAAATTTTCTACACTCTCAAAACTTTCAGATATGCAAATAATAGCTAGATTCTTGGGCTATCCTTTATGGGGTAATGTCAACAATGTTTTTTTCTGTTACAAACCCTTTAACATGGTGAATATACCTTCTAAAATCCTTGCAGCCTTATCCCTGGTGCCCATAAATTGCATGATTTTCACAATTGCTTCTTAACATTTGCCAGCAATCCAATGGGGGATATGGCAATTTTTTATGTCATGCATTTTCACTTGGCTGTATATTTTTGCACACACACACACACATAAATAAGATTATTTTCTCCAAACCACCTTACTACAATGAAATACAGGAGATCCTGCATTTCCCATGGTGTTAGGTGAAATTTATAATAACAAATGATTATGCAAAGTCACATTCGGAAAATTCATATAAATTACCATCTTAGCAAAGGAATCGTAGCAAAGCAAAACAAAAATATGAAACAAAGAACAGCAAATTGTCATTCTCAACACTTCGAGAAGAAAACAAGGGGAGAGTAATGAACAAACCCATTCATGTGCTCTCTCTCTCCTTGGGCATCAGGCATATGTATCCTTTCATTTGCACAAAACTGGTGAATTAAGGTGAATTGCTTTAATAAGCCAAACCATTATTCCCTGGCAAAACTTTCAACTCTTTACTATGTGGATTTAAGGAAATTTCCAATTCTGTTGCGCTCCGATGGCTGGTAAATATCTTTGGGTTATTCCTTTAATTAAAACTTACACGTTTTGCCAAAACTGGAATTACCCAAATTAAAAGTGTTTTTTTTTTCTACCATTTTACCAGTTGCAGTTAGTTTTCCTCCATAATATAAATATCGGAGTTAGTTCAGGAACAAGCTTTGGCTTTTCTCGCCATTTCCAACTAACATTGCTTTGGCTAATAATGTTGCAACTTCAAATGTTTTTCGAGCATAAAATTCAAATGCATTTCCTACAATTGCTTTCCTCCCCCAAATTTGAAAGGAGGAGTAAAGTTTGCCGACTACCTCAGGGGAGAGACGAGAGTTGTGAGGAGGAATAACTACAGCAGCAGGTGTCAGAGTCACAAAATTTTAGTTATGCTGCTACGTGTTTGTGTGTAATATCCTCTTTTTTGTGCTTTCTTTACGAAACCTTTTGACATCACTTGTAGCTCCGCATATCCTTGGGCAACGTTTTGTTGGTCCTTGCTTAACATTTTGCCATGGGGAGTTGTGTCTTTATTTCTCGGTGGTGTGGTACTTTTTTACATGTTTATTCTTTTAGTTTGGATGGTGTATTTTGGCTAAGATATCTAACGAGATGTTTTGTTGGAAATTGTTGCCTGTTGTTTGCAGGGGAAGGAATCCCAAGGCGAATTAAATAAAAAATGATTTTATTTAAAGAAAGTTATTATATGGGTACAGAAGTTGTATCAAGTATACGCAAGCTCGCCGGCCTTTCGCTTCTTTAAAGCCCAAAAGTATGCAATAAGACTCTACTGAGAAAAATGTTATAAGTGAAGTACAGATGGCGCTAATTAACCTATATCTGGAATATTTTTTGGAGGCTTCAAAATAGAATGAATTTCTGAAAACTAAGAGCTGGGGTATAACGCAAAGGTTTTCCACTGATCTGGCGAAAGCCGAAAATGCTTTGCTAACATTTTGAAGACATAAATTGACCCGAAAAAAAAAACCAAGGATCTGCTACTGACCTGGAGAAAATGCAATTGATCTTCTATTTATATGGAAAATATCTGAGAGGTCTTCTACTAGTCTGTAGATGACATCAGAATACTTCAACTAACCTGGAGCGACCTCATAGGTCTTGGCGATGATTTCAGAGGTTTCTAATGAACTCGAGTGGACCTCAGAAGTCTTGTAGTGACCTGGTAAAGTCTAATTTGCACTGACCTGGAGAAGACCACAGATGTATTCTACTGACCTGAAGAAGTAATTCTAATATAGAAAAAAAATCTGAGAGGACGAAGACGAAGACCTGGATATGACCTCGGAGTTCTTCTATTGACCTCGATATGATATTGGAGAAATTTTATCAACCAGGCGATGAACTCAAAGATCCTGTACTGACCTGGCGATGACCTCGGAAGGCTTTTACTGAAAAATCTTATAGTAATCTGTCATCCCCAGATTCAGAGGTTATCTACCGACATAGACCTGATTTCAGAGGCATTCTACGGACCATGAGATCACCTCAGAGATATTCTACGGACCACAAGATCAGAGTTTTTCTACGGACCACTAGATCCCCTCAGAGGTCCAGAATACAACCTCCGAAGTCATCCAATGACTTGAATAAGACCTTAAAAGTGTTCCAGTGTCTTGGAGATGACTTCAGCAGTCCTCTAACGACCTGAAGATGATCTTAGGGGTCATCTACTGACCTGGAGATTACGTCAGAAATCTTCTACTCACCCAGAGAGATGTTTCAGAGGTCTTTTACCGACCTGATGATGATGTCAGGGTTCCTCTACGAACTTGAAAATGACCTCGGAAATCAGGAGATAACCTCAAAGGTCCTATACGAACCTGAATATAATCACCGAGGTCTTCTATTAACTTGACGAATTGAAGAGGACCACTGAGATGTTCCGTTGATCTGGAGAAGTCCTCATGGACCTTCCTCTGTCCTGAGGGATCCTCCACTGCCCTGGAGATGACTTGAGAAGCCTTCTGCTGAATTAGAGATAACCTCAGAGGTCTTCTAATGACCTGAAAGGAATATACAAGTCTCTTTCTAACGTGAAAAACGTCCTTCTACTAAATTGTGGAGACTTCCTTCTTCTATCCTTGGTAGTAATGATATTGGTCAGAATATCTCCTTTAAAATTTTACCATTCAATCCATCCCCTTTGGTTATCCTTATTTTTCTCTTTTCGAAATATTTTAAAGACTGTGTATGGCAAGGGGGTCATCATAAAGAGGAAACGGAAATGTCATTTGTGCATGTCATAACATGCTTACTGGAAAATGTCAACATAATAAAAATGTACGTGTTTTGCATTTTGGAAAAACGTTTTTCGGGTAGATTTTCCTGGTGTTTCTCGTTACTTTTTTTGGGTAAACCTCTTGCTCCTTTTTAAGGATATCTCAGTTGAAATCCTTTCTCTTAGAGTCCAGGCAATGACACACAGTTTGATAATTTCCACACTTTTTAGATTTCCAAAACCCGAAAAAACTATGGGAATGCACCTCACTTTAGTCCGCATGAAGATGAAGAAAAAACCCAAAACGTGACCATTGTTGGAGACACAGCAGAGAGTTGAAGAGCATTAAACCACAAAATGTTGATTAAAAAATTTGTCATGACCAAATGGTTGTTTTGTTTTTCATTTTTTGTCTTAATTTATTTAATTATTAAAAACTTTATGTAATATTAAAGCGAATTTTTTAATTAAATTTTATGTTGAACATATTTTTAAATGTTATATTTTTTATTAAAAATTGCATTTATTTTTTTTCACAAAAAATATATTTTTGTTGTATTTTATGTTTGTCATTTGTGTTGTTGATTTGTCTTCACAAACTTTCTTTTAACCTTTTTGGTTTTTTGTATGAGCGTGTGTGTGTTTTTGTGACTGACCGCATTACCCTCGAAATGGTGGTCTGTTATTGTACACAATTTTTGTTTGTTTGTTAATATCAATCTTTTATTATTACTTTGTGTGGCTGTTTTTTTTTTTATCATGTTACTTCTTAATTATGTTTTATTAACATTATTTGTTCAATTTTAATTTTTGTTTAAATTCAGTTGCTTTCATTTTGCCTGAAGCTGTAACAAAATCAGCTTTAGTTTGTTTCATTGAATTCAATATTTTATTTTTAATTTCCCTCATCTTTTTTTTTTTAATTTTTAAACACAACTTCATCGTGATCACTTACACTTTTGTTTTCCCGTCTGTTTCACTTTTGCTTTTATTTTAAGTTGTTACTTTTTGTTGTCGTCGTAGCCCACAAAGAAATGTGGGTTTACCCGCTCGCTGTTAAATAATAATGTAAGACGTAAACGCGCATGCGCGTAGCTGTGGCCGTTTGCTTTCAAGTTTAATGCACGTTTGCCCGGCCGATGGTTTAGACAACTGGTAGAGACATTGTCGACTGGCTGGTTGGTTGGATGGCAGTTCCGGTCGTTGTGCTTCGACTTTAATGTTGATGATGATGTCGATTGCCGCTTTTGTGGCGCTATGAGTGAAATGTAAATTTCTTTAAATGTTGTTTGTATCTATTATTATTGTTTTATGCGCTTTGAGCAAAAGAGATATGTGGTTTAAAAAATTCACTCAAAAATAGAGCTAAACTGAAAGGTTTGGGAGTTTTGTAGGCGAACTGCATAGGGTGGGCGTATGATTGATGGAAATTTGTCAAGTGGTTTTTTGGAAAGAAAATTCCTAGAAAAAAATATAAACTTACAAATTTCTCACAAAACATGTTAAAAAATGTTGTGATTGAATTTTTTATGTTTTTCTCTCCCTCAAAGAAATGTTGAGATACACAGGGACAACGTTAAATAAAAAAATAATAAATAAAATAAAAAAATTACCTTACCTCTTTAATAGGTTTCTCGGCTCTGATAGCCCTTGATCGACAATCATCTGATAACACTGTGCAACACAAAAAATAATTGGAAGAAAATCCTGCAGATTATGAAAGTTTGGTTAAAAAAGAAGACATGTATATTGGCGTTTTGAAAATTTACATCGTAAAGCAACCTAAATAGAGGGGGCCAGTTGCCCCCTCTTCCATACATTTGGAAATTTTCGGATAAGGGGTTGCTCGGAATCTGTGTATATAGCGTCTACGGAAATATTTCAGATAAAAATACAAGAAAAAATTTTATTGAAAACCTTAACACTCAATCAAGTCAGAAAATTGGTCTTTTTGGTCCCTTTTTGGAAATATGGACAAAAACTCCCTTTAAACGGGATCGTAGCAAGTCAATATATTCTGCAAAATTATTTATCATAAAATTTTGCTATAGGTCCTAGAAGATGTCGAATGTCTAAATCTAATCTAAACTCCAGGAAATTGTTAATTTTAAAAACAAGTTTTAGGGTTAAATTTGCCATTTATGTGAGTTTATACGAAAATCTCCTTAAAAACATAATTTAAGAAAGACAACGTCGAAGACAAAAATATTCCTCAGATTTTTATCTGCAATATTCCTAAAGACACTATGTACCTCAAATATACACATTTCGAGGAATCTCATTCTGAAAAGTCTTAAAGAGGAAGGAATTAGCCTCCACCATTTAGGTTACTTTTGCGATGTAAACTTTCAAAACGCTGATAAACGTGTCTTTTTTTAGGTCTACTGTCATAATCTGCAAGATTTTCCCCGACATTATTAAAAAATGGCATTTTTTCTCGAATTTTAATCTATCAAGAAATTTTTATTCAAAACACCGACCAACTTCTTTCAAAAATTCCTATCTAATTTTGGACTGAGAATCTCATGACAAAGCTATATCTGAATCTGCACATCACCAATTTCACATATTTTATGAGTATTTTTCCCATCAGCGTCTCCTTCCTCCCATTTTCTTTTATCGACCATGAGCTCAATTAACTTGGAGAAGACCTCAGAGGTGTTTCACTGACCTGGAGATGACAACAAAGATCTTCTTCCAATCCAGAGATCATCCACTGACCTGTAGGTGACCTCATAGGTCTCCTAATGACCCATAGGTCTTCTACGAATTTAAAGCTCTTCTACTGACATAGAGTGCCTTCTGAGCTTTTCTAGTGACCTGAAGAAGACTGCAGAGTTTTTCCACTGATTTTCCACATGAGAGGTCCTCTACTTTGGAGATAAACTCAAAATTTTCCTACTGATGTGGAGATAACCTCAGATGTCTTCTGTTGACCTAGACAAGAGCTAGAAGTCGCCTGCTAATTTGGTAAAGTCCCAGAGGTCTTGAGAATTTCATTATATACGCAGAGCTCAATTTCACATATTTTTTGAGTTACTGATCTGGAGATTAGCTCATAGGTCTTCTACTGACCTGAAGATGACAGCAGAGTTGTTCTACTGATTTGGAGATGGAGATGATCTGGGGAATTACTCATTGAAATTTCTCTGACATGAGAGGTCCTCTACTGACCTGGAGATAAACTCAAAAATTATCAACTGATCTAGGGATAAGCTAAGATGTCTTCTACTGATCTAGAAAAGAGCTAGAAGTCTTCCACTAATCTGGTAAAAACCTAGAGGTCTTGAGAATTTCATTGCAGAAGCTATATCCACTCAAAGCTCATCACCAATTTCACATATTTTTGGACTTATATTCCTATCACCATATTAAATTTTTCCATTTCTTTCCATAGATCCAAGACTCTATTACTGATTACCTCATAGGTCTTCTACTGACCTAAAGAAGACCGCAGAGTTTTTTTTACTGATCTAAAGATGTCCACGTGGACCTTCCGCTGACTTGAGAGGTTCTCTACTGATCTGGAGATCAGTTTTCTGCTGATATTGAGGTAACCTAAGAAGTCTTATACGGATACGGAAAAAGCTAGAGGTCTTCTATTTATATGGTAAAGACCTAAAAGTCTTGATCTTTATCTTCCCACCAACCAATTTCATAGTTTTGAGTTATTTTCCCATCCTCATTTCCCATTCTCTCATTATTTTGCTCAAAAAATCCCACTCATTTCATTCATATCTGGGCACACAACGGCTTTCATAAATCGCCAGCATTGTGTGTTTTTACTTTTATTTTATTTAGCCCGGCCAACAATAAGTATTACAACATCAAAAAATATAAAAAATGTTGTTGTCATTTGATATATATATATTCAAATTTTATGAAACTCCAACTATGTATGTGTGTTTTGTATACTATTGTTGTATATTGTAGTATATTAACATAATTCGTTAACAACTCAAAATAAATACAAGCAAAGCTTTTGATATCCCCAAAAACAAAAAGTGCCAAAAAAAGACACCCAGGCGGAGCATACTGCACTTTGATCCATATATCAAAACATCAGGCCGGTAGAGCTAAGCTTACAAAACCAAAACACACACCAGGTAATCTTTTTAAACCCGCTGCTGGCTGGCTGACTGGTGGTCTCATTGATAACTGGAAGGCCGTTGCCTACTTCGTGTTTGGTGATGATGATGATGGCGATGACGATGGTGGTGATGACTCAAAAATAAGCCATGAACCGTAAAATTCCGGCTCAGAGAAAGTTGCAACGCCAACGAACACCGCTCCGCACACCACCGAAACCAGTTAACACGCCGCAAAAAACCAAAACATTGCAAAATTACAACGCGTCCAACAATGACGTCGTCATTGTCTCTCAGCGGAGGCATCAGCAGCAGCAACAATTGCTAGGCATTTTGTTTTTATTCCAACAAATAAATGTTGTTGACGTAAAATGGCTATAGGAAAGAGTACAAGTCATTTGCTGTTATTACCACCACCAGCAGTATTTTTGCTGTTTTTTGTTTATTTATTTTGTTGTGCTAGCTTGTTTGCTTGCTGGCTGGCTGCTTGGCTGACGGGCTTGCGATAAATATTAAGTAATACCAACACCATCCCCCCTAGCCTTGGCGCATTGACAACTCACACATGTTGGAAGTTGTGGCGTTTTTGCTTTTCATCCAAACTGGATTCGAGAGTAAAAGAAGATGTTTTGTTTACAACATTTCATGGCCAAATACAGGCAGCGTGGTGGAAGGGGGGGGCAACCACCAATGATATGGCAATGATCTTCTCTGAGGTAACCGTTTAAAGTTGGAATTGTAATTTGGTTAACAATTATTAGTTAATGATGGTATTAAGAGCAATTTATTATGGAAATGCAATTGAAAATAAGTGACAAGCGTACTAGCATTGGCAGGGAGAAGGGGGACAATTTTTCGAAGGCTAAATGTGTGTTGATCTAAGTTTATTATAGATTTTGTGGATGGGAAATTACTTAAAGAGCGGACTACACCAGTAATTTTTTAACAAGAAGAGGCGGGAATTAAAATTTATTTTAGCAAAATAGTCATAAAAAGTACAAAACGTGAAAAAAGTAATTAATAATTTGTTGACAAGGGCCATTTATTGGTATTGGAATAATATATAGTTGTTTGAAAACGATAAGATAAGAATCATACTTCTTGGCAAAATTGTACATATAGATACATATTTCCAATACGCAACATTCTAAATACCACTGGATCCTCAAACCAACTGATTTATTAATTCCATTAAAAAGAAAATCGTACGAACATGACTTTGAAAGTTCATAAACATTAGTTTTCTAAAAAAAAATATTTTTCACAAAACTTGACGAGAATGTCTCTGATAGCCCCAAAAAAAAAAAAATAAATAAATAAATAAATAAATAAATAAAATCCGCAAGTATGTTTCTGATAATCAAAGTTATTTTTTCAGAATCCTACGATCATGCCTCTGATAGTTTTCCGACATTATCTTTCTAAAGGCCAGATTACATGTTATGTTACAGTCGCATGTAAAGTTAATTTTTCTAAATTGATCTGTGGTATTTTAAAGCATTCTTTTAGGAGCCTCCAATAATTTTTTAAACTAAAAATGTGCAATTAGTCCAAAAATAAACAATCGCACCCATTACCCCAAAAATAGCAAAAACAACGAGAACCTACCTCAATAGCAAAGTGAACTGCATCAACCAACCACCCAAGTATCTATTGACAATAAAACTAAAAATTCTGCTTTCGACAATATGCCGTTTACCTCATAAGGCAAATAATTCACGTTCACTTGGTAATACCACGCAAATAAAGTGTTCGGTTTGGGATACGATGGGACAGGTTTGCTACAGGAGGGGGTTGTCAAAGGGTAGTTAGAGAATTTTTAAATACTTTTTGAAGTGGTTCCCATTAAGTTGAGTGATTTTACACAGGCGCTTCGGCTCAATATTCCTCATGCATTTTTGCTCGCTGTTTCAGAAAAGCTTCCGTTCGTTGCTCCCAAGGAGCTTCAGATCGTTGTTCAACAGAAGTCTTTGGATCTTGGATTCGCTGTGCCGCAGGAGCTTCGACTTGTTGTACTGTAGCTCAAAGCCATTGTTTACGAATCCATAATCGTGAAACAGCTAAACCCG